AAGACAAGAGGGAAGGCCATTGGGAAAAAGGGAAAATTAGAAGCCGGGGAGATAAGAGTGTGAATAAAAGCCAAGGTAGCCAGTGAAGTTACAATTGCTAGGAAGAAAGCTGCCACCGTGCTGTTGCCTGGTAAGGTGACCTAAGGAAGAACACCCTGTTCTCTGGTGTAGTCAGACTTCCTGGGCAAGAGTTTGGAGTGTCTTTCTCATCTCGGAGATGACCGATCATTCCCGATAACCAAATTGGGAGAGCCCTCTTCCAGTTTCCACTTGGCTCCTTCACAGCAGAGTCTGACAGCCCTCAGTCTTCATCTCAAGACAACCATGAGTGAATGTTAATTAATGGATATAACTCTTCAGAAAGGTCATGGGTAATTAAGGCTGCTCATTGTGCTGTCGAGCAAAGAAGGCTGGCGCAATTGCCTGAAGCTTGGGTGTGCTAATATTAAAGATGAGACCAGGTTGGGGCAGCTGGGAGTGGTGGGTGATAGCAGCATTTGGATCAGGAAGGGTCAGTTGGGCTTCCTAGAGTTCTCTGCTCCCTAGATAAAGCTGGAGCATCTGGGTGACATTTGGGCCTGGCTATGTGCTCATTAAACAGATTGGCTTACAAGCATGGCGGATTCACAGAGGCCCACGCCCTACTTGAGTCACACATGGGCACCAGGAAAGGGATGCCATGGGATGCGCTCCGAGTGCAACACTGCCCCATTGGCTCCGTGTCTACGAATAGCTGAGCACACAAAGAAAAACATCTATTTTTCAGAAATGACAGTTGGTGGCAAGCAGGAAACATCTGTCTATAGCTTTAACTATTAGGTGATGAGGTCCCAGAACCCGTGGCCTTAGAAACAGATTCAGGCAGAGCATCACAGAGGCATCCCCTCTGAACACGCCTGGTGATTTAGCCACACAGCACAAGCCTGGATGGTGTGGCGAGGCTAGTACTGCACAAGGCTGGAGGAAAAATCAGATGAGGGATCTCTTTTAGAGCTTTTCCTAGGCTAAAAATGTCCTTAAAATGTGTAAGTTTACACCTAGCCACAGATCGACAGCCCATGATGTCCCTCGGGTGCTGCCAGGAACTGACTTGATCTTCACAACTTAGACAGTAAGGACGACTGTGCCTGTGTTCATCTTTAACCAGATTATAAGGAGAAAGTTGTAGGTGTTGGAGAACTCATTTTGCTCTGGACGCCAAAGGAAAATGTGCTGTCCTAGACTCCAGCTGATCAACACTGTGCCAGTGAGCATGTAGGCTGTATGGGGAATGCAGGCTGCATGGGGAAAGCAGGCTGCTGCGCTGTAAGGATTACTAACAGTAGGACTTGTCCCCCGCTATCGTCTCGCCAGCAGGAACCACGCGGGACACTAGGATTCTTCTGCAGAAATAGCTTTAATGCCCCTTGGGAGAGAGAGCATCAGCTAACATGGCCGGGGACGCAGATATGAAGGAACCCATCCCTTATATAGGAAACAGTCCTTGCTTTGGACGTGTCACTCTTGGATTGGTCTGCTGCCCGTAATCCCAGATGATGCCTCGGGAGTAGGCGGGGACAGCAGTGGAAAGTTACCTAGCACATGTGCGTTCACCTGGTGGTGAAACCGGATGTCAGCGCCATCTTATAATGGGGCATGTGGATGCGGCCCTTCACAAGGACTCATCCCCTGCCTGGGGAAGCTGAGGGCATTGCTGTTGTGTTCTGGTTTTATTTATCTATTCATTTATTCAATTATAAAAATGGGCTTTTATAAAGAATCTTTCCAAAAAAAGGAAAAGGAAAAATCTTCAGTTTGGCTGTCTGCTTAGGATTCGTACACGCATAAGAAAGAGAGAAGCATATACATATATGTAATGATACTTTGTTTGTACTATAACATACAAAGCTTGCCCGAGAATCAGAGTGTGGAGCGAGCCACTAGTTAGCCAGGCAGTGGTGGTACACACTTTTAATCCCAGCACTCAGGAGGTAGAGGCAGATAGATCTCTGTGAATTCAAGGCCACCCTGTGGTACACGAGATTGATCCTGTCTCATCCCGCCTTCTATTCTTCTCTAGTGCTGGGATTAAAGATTTGCACCATCACCATATGGCCTCTATGGCTAACCAGTGTGACTGCTGGGATTAAAGGTGTGTGTCACCACTGCCTGGGTTGTGTGGCTTACTAGTGCGGCTAGCTTTGCGCTCCAATCTTCAGACAAGCTTTATTCCTTAGACCATAAACAAAATATCACTATAGACCCCCCTCTCTCTCTCTTTCACACACACATACACACACACACACACACACACACACATACATGCACACACTCCTGCAGAAGTATTTATAATCTTTTCACTCTCACCTTTTTATAAAAGAAAAGGGGAAGGCAGCTAGGGGAGCTGCTTACCTGGCGTCCGGTTTACCTAGTGTGTATGAAGACCTAGAATTGATCCCCAGTACCACATACAAATAGACTACTGTGGCGGTACACCACTAAAATCCCAGCACTCAGGAGGTGGAAGCAGGAGAATCAGAAGTTCAAAATCTTTCTTGGTTACTGTACTGGCTGGTTTTGGGTATCAACTTGACATAAACTAGAGTCATCAGAGAAGAAGGAGCTTTAGTTGAAGAAATGCCTCCATGAGATCCAGTTGTAAGGCATTTGCTCAATTAGTGATCAATGGTAGGGGACCCAGCCCGTGGTGGGTGGTGTCATCCCTGGTCTGGTGGTCCTTGGTTCTATAAAAAAGCAGGCTGAGCAAGCCATGGGAAGAAAGCCAGTAAGCAGCCCCTCTCTATAGCCTCTGCATCTGATCCTGCCTCCAGCATCCTGCCCTTTTGGAGTTCCTGTCTGGACTTCCTTCAGTGATAAATAGCAATGTAGAAGTGTAAGCCAAATAGACCCTTTCCTCCCTGACTTGCTTTTGGGTCATGGTGCTTCATCACAACAATAGAAACCCTAACTAAGAGAGTTACATAGTGAATTCGAAGTCAGCCGGGGCTACATGAGACCTTATAAGAGAAGAGAGGAGAGGGAGTCATACCCATCAGTTTTTGGAATAACCAAGATTGTTCTGTTCAATGGTGTGTGTCTGATGGTGCAAGTGCTCTGTGGGACAGTCTAGAGCCCGAGTCTGCCACCAGATTCCACAACCACAATACAGAGGATTACAATGGACTCTCCATTCCCTAGTGCTTTCCCACTTGACACCGACTCTACGTGTCTCAGCAGATGCAGACACTCAGGACCTGGGGATCAAAGCAAAGACTACAGAATCAAAAAGTAACTGAAGAGACTTTGCAGTAGGGACTGGCATGAAGATCACGTATGTTAACAGTAGCATCAAGACTACAGTCTCAGTCAGCCATGACTGTGTCATGGGGCATGCACTGTTTAAAAAAATGCCACTGGTAAGATAAGTTTACTAAGTCCAGTGCATTCTGAGAAATAAAATCTGGAGGTTCGGATGTTACAAACACAATGATTTGAGGAGTATCTGCCATTGTATTGCTTGCCCCAGAAATGCACCACTGTGAGTGATTGACAGTGGGGTGTGAAATAAGGGGAATTGCCATCCTAAGAAGACCTGGCACGATGGGGGAGGGGATGATGGTGGGAAAGATACCCAGATAGACTGCAAGGAGCATGCTAATGCTGGTGCCGCAGGCAGGCAGCATGGGCTGAATCCCAGCTGGCACTCGGACTGCTTACATAGAGCATACCTAGGAGGTGACCTAAGGAGCTAGTGAGGAAACCGCAGGGCTGACTCTTTACTCCCGTTCCTTCTGAGGCAGGGGCTACTCTTAAGGGGACTAAAATGTGACATTCCTGGCCTCCTCTGTCCAAGACCCTGGAAGAAGGAGTTATATCATTGTCTGGAATCTGTTATATGATTCTCCAAAAATAGAAAAAGGAATGTTTGAAAGAAAACATAATCCATAACAAAGAAAGATTTCATACACTTAATGAAACTAGGTAACGATATAATAGAAGGTACATTTCTCTTGCTGGAAGATGATGTTGGCATACTTTCATTCTTCCTTCAGAGTAGAGCTAAAATGTCATGAGTTTCTCTCTCTCTCTCTCTCTCTCTCTCTCTCTCTCTCTCTCT